TTGGCTCAAAAATATAAGTAAAAGGATGTAAAATCAGGAATAAAAGTTGATATGGATATTCAATTAGCGTAATTATTACATAATTTAATTGCGCTAAAATGCAATTTTAGTTTTTCTTATTTTTAATATTAAAATCTTATTGGCAACTTAATTGGGTAGAGCCGGCTCATCATAGTTCAAAGGAGCAAGAAAGCAATTAGGCTACTTTTGATTAAAATCTATGAGGACAAAATCGCGATTATAGGCTTTGAGCTAAAATCTAATAAATTATGGGAAATATTAATTGTCAATACGTACCGTTGTCAAAATTGGCACTTTAGATAATGGTATATTACTTTTAGTACCAAAAATAGTCAAAATTTATCTTCAACCGCATAAAAGTTGTGCTCAGAGAAAAAAGTTTTTCTTTAGTTGGTTGTCAGCCGAACTTTAAGCGAATGGGCGAGGCGACGTAGACCACAGTACGTGAAATCGTAACAAATTCGGGTTGAATGTTAAATATGTGTGTTACACATTTGTTTACTACGTAAATTTGGTAAAATCTGCATTCAGTTTGATTTTGTTATTTCCGCGAAGGTGAATATTTGGTTTTCCCGACTATTCGGTACATCTCAAATATATTTGCGGTCGATTGATATAATTAAAGACCTCAAATCGACATTTATTATGCATTGTCCAGATTTATCGAAAAAGTTATCCGAACCGAAAATCGCCTAATGTTTCCGCCGGCATTCATGCGTAAACCACGCCTAGAAAAACCTTAATAAGAAACGTTATCCCATATGCGCATTGTGACAGTATGTCTGCCGGTTTATTCCCCGAACGTCCTGTATGCGCATCATACGTGTCGGATGGAGAACGATCGGCAGGCTGGGGACCCATGTAACCCAAATACGTCCGACGTCCGTCTCATGCTTCTTTTAACATCATTTATAAACGTCAAGCCGCTTGGAGCAAAACGAGCAACGAATGAACGAACGAAATTTGGCAGTGAGATTTGTGCAACGAACCACGCCGTAGCTTTGGATAATCGTTAAGGATGTGCGCACATAGTTGCGGTTATGTGTTAGTCATACACATATGCTGTTCGCACACTGTACGAAAATCAGTCCAAGAGCACACAACACGCCAAAGCAAGGCATGACGTGTAAACATTCAGGAAACCAGTATATTTTCGTGCACTTGGTAAAAACTTAATAGCCTTCGACGTAATGTACACAACACACAGGATTCTCGATGTTGTATTTACTGCTTTCTGTAAAGCCGTAGTTGCACCTCTGCATAGTATGCCATTTGCTCACGGTCGGTTCTGTGTTCTCTGTTTGCCGTTCTGTTTCGAAACAGGGAAATTGAAAGTGTAAACAGGCTATAAAAACTTTGCGCGCTTTGTTGTGTGTGGAAAGTCTTATAACAACTCAATGTCGGGCTCAATGTGGCGCACGAGCGGACGGACACGTTTCGATACACAATGTTTCACTTTGGAATTGGTGCCTTGTGCAAAACAAATTTATTATTTGTCAAAAATGCTTCATTCCAAGTTTCAACACTTTAAAAAAGATTATAACCTCAAAATTCAGATTTTAACTTATAAATGCCGCTCCTTTATGAATTTTAATATTTAAAATTGACAAAGATGAAAAAGTATTCATTATACTTCGGTGACTTAGTCAAAATCTATAATTAACATTCCCTGTGTCACCGTCGCGAGGAAAATACGTTTTGCGGCTGTTGTGCAAGGATAAGTACATTCAATTCGTTCTGTCGACCGTCGTCAGAAAATTGCCTTCGTCGAGACCCGCGCCACAAAACGATGACCAACGAACATAAAGGCAATACGTGTGAATCCCCGTGATTTAAGTCCCCCGCGTGCATGTGGTCGCAGATTTCCTCTCTCGATTGCGGCTTGTCCCATTTTCATCGTCGACAATACTACATCATTTTTATGTCAGATACACATCTTGTTGAAAACGAAAATAACTAATAACCAATTATTCATCAACCTAGACTAAAACGAAAAAAAAACAAACTTTGATTAAGTATAAAATGTTTCTAGTGTTTAGACTGTGAAAGTTGTTTACGTATGTCGATGTAAAGCAAATGCCATCCAATTCTAATTTTAGAGTATTAATTAGTTTATTTGAAAATTAAACGTTACGCGTTGAACATAATCGCGCGCACGCACAAATCACTGCTTGATAAATAACGAAAACAAGTGTGTTATATTTAACAAGGATAACAGTCTGCCAGGCACGCAAGACTAACACCAATGCACGAATTTTAAAAAACGAGCTTAATTGCACGTTTTTATTAAGCAAACACAACACAACATTGTAACACAAATTTGTTTGCCAGCGAAAAACAATACGCAAACACATTCCAGATGCCATGAAGACTGAATTAATTAAAAACGCTTTTTGCTGTCTATATCGTTTACAAGGCTGCACCCGGGAATTAGTCAACAACGGATTAAAATTTAACAAAAATCCAAAATGACGAAAATAACAATCTAATTTGTTTTAAATCAGTATTTTCGAAGTTTATTCTATCTGAATTAATTTAGGTGCATATCTCATTTGCTGAAATTAATTATTTACTCTAACGCAGTGCATTCTGCAGCAGTTAGCACAGTAAGATAAATAAATAAACGTAACATAAATCCTTTCGTTCAGCGAACGTCTGTTTTCTGTTGTTCGCAGCCATATTTCAACGTTTCACCTTAGCCATTCCTTTTAATATGTTTTTCTCGTTCTTAGAGCGGCCGCGTCCACTTCGAAGTAGGTACGATCCGAAAAAAGTTTCTTTGAGTCGCCCCGCTGCGATGCGTTTTAGGAAAACATCAGGAGAGCGTTTAATTTTTTTCCATCTTCGTTTTGAAAGGAAGTTTTAATGCATTTTTCATTCATTGGGTTTCGAATTTAGTTGCGCGCAAAAGGCTCACTTTTCTTCTTCTTCATCGTCTTCTTCTGCTAGTGTTGGGCGTAGGATGTTTTTTTGCGCTGCCTTCGAGTGCTGTTTGCTCTCATCGGGCGGATTATAGCTTTTTTGTTGCCGCGAGTCCTTTCAGTTTATTGTATTGTAAGTTCGTATGTCTTTCGGATTCGTAAATATTTAGCATTAGAGTTGTAACATTGTAAGACGCCAGTCCAGACGCCGTCTATTCAAATGAATGTTTTTACTATATTAGATGGTATAAATATTAAAATTGAATACTACTTTTATTTCAACAAAAAAATGTCGAGTCGAATCCAAAGAAAAATGTGGATTAATATTACGCTATTCTCTTTGAAGAATATTGCATACCTGAGAACTTATTTCAGATATCAAAGAGATGGATTTTTTCTTAACCCAATCTCACAGCGAAATCTTTAATGGAGTTTCTCCTAAATGTGTGGATCAAAAAGTATAGCTATTTAATTTTAAAAGCTACCATTTTCTGTGGATTGAAATTTAGTAGTAAATTTATTAACCAATCAATCAAATAAACAATGTGATGAAAATAAAATGATGGCTTTATGTGTGTGCTCATCAAATAAGAGTAATCTGTCAGTTTCATTTCTCAATCAATTAAAAACCCATCTCTATTATACGACAGTAATATCCTCGCTTCACATATTTCGATTCTCTCCACGTTTGCGGCCGGCACGAGCGAAGAATTGGCCGATGAAAGAAATCGTTAGAAAGAGCGGGTGGCTACGTGCGCGCACATCCTCCACTTCCACTCTAGCTCGATGAGCGAGCGAAGATGAGATTTAATTGAATGCCGAATGAACGAAACGAAGCACTTTCGATGCGAAAGAAGCATTCGTGGCATTCGGAAATATAGATAGGTGTCGCTCTATTCCCAACGCTCAGCTGCTAAATATTCACCATCGTCTAAAATATCGATTCGGGACATTCCGCAGATATGAGAATATCTCACGACCGCAATACGCTCGCCGTAAGAAAATCAATTAAAATATCATTTGGCTGAACGCTATGCTGCCGCGCGTTTTCACTACACTTTTTATCTTTTTTTATCGACTCCAAGGCGACGGATTAACTACCACACGCGTCCTTTTATTCGCGTTCGTCGTTGCGCAAACCCACACTGTGCGTTTGCTGAAGGACGCCAGGACAATAAAACTTTAGAACAATATCCTAACCATACGATGTCTAGCCGAAGCTATAGTTCATCCCACCCAAAAACACACGCTCAGTGCGTTTAGTTTCAAAACATAACCGCAAATTGAAAAACTCACTCCGTATAGTTTATTTATTATTCTTACTGCACGGGTCTTGCACTGACTAAAACGGTTACAATGTTAACTGCTAATCCGATCTTCTTCCTCGCTTTGTATATTTCACGCTAACGGTTTTTAACGTCACCGAAACTGATAAAATAAAACGGCCGGCGTGAATAATGATGTTGTGGTGCGAGCAAGCGGCAAAAAAGTGTATTGCTTTCGCGCCCGCAATGCTTCGTGTCTAATTTATAATTTTCTATTTTACACCGGCTTCCTTTTGCGTTTTGTGCTCGTTTTGGCGTGTTGTCGCACATCGTACAAAATAGGTTTTATCGCGCTTTTTCCTCGCGTTTGTTCGTTCGACGTAATGAATTACGTTTGACACGCGAACCGCCGCGCTGAATTAATACAGCGCGCTGTTGGCCGTAATGTGTTGGCATATTTTAAGTGCGAGATGCGAGCGAATTGTGAAATATGATTCGTCGACACCGCTAATTCCATATTTTCCCCGGCGATGCCGCGTTTATCCTTTTTGGGACGCGCGCGCTTAAAACACCATTCAATTTGCGGACGCATTGTGTGTTTTATTATAACGACGTGTAGGCTATATTAAATATTGTTTTAGTCATGTTCAAAATCTAGTTTGACAATATTGGAATTTATATTCGCATAGTTTTTGAGGTTAGATGGATGTTTGTCACTTTTTCAGACAAAAGTCATTTGACTAATTTTGATGAATTTTGATATTCAGTCAATTTGGAGACTGTGGAAATGGTAATAAACAAGTTGTTATCGCCAGAATTAATTCTTGCAGAGAGTAAAATTTATGTTTAAAGTTGAGTTATTTATAGTTATTATACTAAAACATGTATTGCGTGAAAAATATTCTGACAATATTCCGCAATTTCAGCGATAAATGTTTAAAAATAAATACTTTGCAGATTTTAAGTGAGTTTGGAACCATAAAATTCGCTGAGAATTATAAACAAGCGCTCATTCTTTCCAAGGCATTTATAGAAATAAACAGGCAGTCGACGCATTGGAATTTCTGCAGCTCCAATGAACAAATCGTGCCGTCGGCGCCTAGACAGGATATACGTGTTCAAAGCGCGTTTCCCCGAACTGCAAAATTGGAAAACATGTTACTCTCCCGAACGAACGCCAACAAATCATTTTTAACAACCGATTTTTTTTCGGGCGCATTCCGCATGTTTTTCTCTTAACTCAATCTTAACTTTCTAGGCGTAGGTACATTCATCATTAATCACACTCGCATCTGCAATGCGATGAATAAATCTGTTGGAAATCAAGCCGCGCAACAACTTTCTGAAGGTTTAATTTTAATAAATAAAAAGTTTTCGCAGTTTGTGCGCGCGCGATGCACACCGAATCTCTGAGAACCGCGAACGCGCGGCGTGAATGAATGACTCTAGTTTTGGCGCTTCTCGGAAATAGTTTGCCGACTGGTGGCTGCAGGGCGCGTGAAATAATTTCACAATATGTAAATTTAGTGCAGATTGTAAAGCGCTGAAGAATGCAGACAGATACAAGACGAGCGCGAGTGGCAGGCGGGCATGCACTTTGCAAAAAGGGTTGGCGCTGTTCTTCGGGCGGGTGGTAGTGATAAAAGCTGGGTCGTTCGTCTTTGCGCCTCTGCCACTTGAGATTATATCAAGTATCTCCGGCTGCAAAGCTTGCCGAGCCCATAAATTGCGCAAAAGTGTAAATTACTGAAGCCGCTCTCTGCTCTACGCGCTCCACTGGCTATATAACAAAACGGACTGCACGAATGTGCTGATAAAATGTCTCACACCATACCAATTCTCACCGACACTTGTCCGGTGACAAATTAAAACCGAACATGGGACAAATGTTACTTTAATTCAATTTCTATCAAAGCGTACAAATTAATTTCAAAGGATCTCCGGGTCTAGGCTCAAATTGCCGCACATATTTTATCACCTTGGGTGTCTGATGGATGACTTGACTTACCCTGCCTCTTCTTTTTTTCACTAATCGATAAACTTTGTGTTGTCTGTTTCAGTGGTTGGTGTGATGTGCCTTCTACATTCGTGCGCGTGTCACCTCGTCGGCAAACCAGGTGAGTTCAAAGCGTCAGATTAATACAATTCGTGCGCTTCGCTATTAATTATGAATTTTCACCGGTTGATGCTTAATCAATTAGAGCGCTTGCTAATTTATTCAGTCAACCGATCGGGTTGCACGCAGTGTCGGCATTCTAACATTCTAGCCAATATGCTGCTGGTGATGACTTTAGTGATTCACCCGTGAGAATCGTTTACAAGCGCGGTTGGGGCGTTTCAAAGTCAGGTTTATGGTTGATACATGAATATAGGGTGTGTACACAATTAAAACAATAATAAAAATATAAATTTTTAATGTTTTTACATGAATTTCACTTCAAAATAATCAAAAATAATTGTAAATTATGCAAAACTTGAAGTAAATTTCATATTATTTTATATCAAGATAAAATTAAATTATATTTATTACGGTTTATAATATGCTCTATTGTTAGATAGGTAATATCTCTCAGAATGATTTCCGTTTGGTGTAAATCATGCATCGTTTGTAACGTTTGGAAATTAACGCGATGCAGGATGAAGCGTGTTATCCCTCTTCAGATGAATTTTGACAGTGACAACAAAACGAGGCATCTACCACGTATTCATCAAATTTACGCCTCCCCTTTGCAGCCTCACGCTGTAATGAAACCCGCTGTAAAGTCTAAATAATATTAAGTGTTAACGAATTTTATTCTTTCCTCGTCTCGCGCAGCGTCCTCATTTTTATTCTGCTTTCTTTCGGAGAACGTCGACGTTTTATTACATTACAGCGATAAATTACAGCCGGCGCAAATCGGCAAACGTTAAATTTGTACTTATGTACACAAAAGATTCAAACAATGGCCGCGTTACGTCTTATAACTCCCTAAACAAAAATTTGCCTAATTAATTATTTATGCGTGTTGAATATTATATTTTCCGTCTTCAATTTTGCTGTCGATAAATAAGGAAGTAGATTTCTACAAATCAAAAATATCATCTATACATCATTGAATCTCTTATAAAATGTGTTCGTTTTCATATCACAACATAAAACGTAAAATATGTATGCGTTAGGTCTGTCTATCTGGGCAAAGGAAGCGTACAATACGAGGAATTCGAAGAAAAATTATGATTTATGGATGTGTTTTGTAAAATACGTGGAATGCATTCATGTAAAACTATATTCGAAAACGTTCTCGTTTTCGCCAAACGACAAAGAATGTCGAGTCAGCGAAAAGCACCCTCTTCACATTCGATACAAGGTGTCTGTTGAAAAACAAAGAATAAAAAATGTGAGTCGAGTTCCTTTGGTGGAACTGTTCGCAGGCGAAAAAAAAATGTGTTTGTGAATAATTCTGCTTACTTACACTTTCACTGGTGGCGTTCTTCCAGCATGTAAGTAACCGTTAGCCCCATGTCGGCGTCCCCTGCTTTGAAAGTTTAAAAGCTGTCGCGCGGATTACGCGAAACTCGCTCGCAGCTTAGCAGTGTTCGCACCCGGAGGGACACCAAGCTTTTCTCTGGTCGCGCGGACGATACAGTCGAACAAAAAAAAAGAAAACTTTTATTTTTTTCTGGATCCAACTCGCATAAAAATTCGGAACATTCATCTTTTACCTACCATTAAACACCCTAAAAATGAAATGTTCGTTTTTCGTCGAGTTTAATTACACCCGGCGACGATTTTTAACTCTCGACGAAAAAAAAGATGCGAAATTGACACGGAACCGCTAATTGAATGCGATTTACTTGTACTCTCGCCGGCTGGTAGTCGGGTTTCTTTTCGAGAGAAATCGAAACTCTTTTTTCGCGCAACCCCACTCGGTAACCGGAGCCCTTGGCGTAAATGGAAAGAAAGCACGTTCATTCTTGGACGCGATCCTGATACCCACACAATTCCGCCTGCTCCCTTAACAACTGCTTTATTCGCGTGTTTAAAAGACGCTATGTGCGCGTTAATTTATAATGCCATTCTGCCATTCACTTCCTCCTCTTCCACTTGGGTGGCGCGCCGCGCAGTTTTTTTTCACTTTCCGGGCACGAGCGGCCGCGTTTTTCTCGTTTTCTTGTCTTACTTAGTTGCGAAGAGGAAATAATTACACAATTCATGGGCGAGCATCTCAAACGCTGCGCTAACTTGAACACGTTGGGCGCGTTTTATGAGTACCAGCATTATCGTTATTATCGAGCTGCGACGACGTTACGCCTTGTTCGCGCACGAGGCTATTTTAATTAAATCTTAATTGCAATACAAATCTTTGCAGTCTGCCAATTTGTTCTAGTTATTTTACGCGTAGAACGAAAATAAGGAAATAAGCTATGACTGAACATGGCGTGTATAGGTTGGAGGAATATTAGTGCGCGGTGTAAAAGAGGCGGCAGCGCGGAGGCAGCGTAACTTGGCGGCAATAGTGAATTTCATTTGAAGTAAACGTTTACTGCCGCTCGCGCATACGCTGCCAGCTCGGCAAACAAACAAACAGGAACAAATGAATTTTGCTTTATTGTCGGAGTAAATGTGCGAAAGTAAAGTTTGCGCTAATATTTGTTGTTTGATTTTCATTTAGTTCTGTATATCAGTGAGCAAACAAATGAAGACAAGTCATTTATTTCTTTAGCGCGAAAATTGTCCATACGACTCGTAAAAAATATTTACTGTGCATTTCAAATGGATTAATTGTTATTAATTAATCATTAAGTGAATATTTTTCCCTCTGTAATTTGGATCAATAGACATGATACTTTTTATACCCGTTGAATTACAAAAAGTTTCTTTTTCTTTGCATGCCGTGCACGTAGCTTGTTCGAAACCATTCGCAAATATTTTTTATAACCCCGGCGTGTTTTGCTTTGTTTGCTGCAGGTGACAGAAGTATCAGAGAATTGACAACGGAATTTCCCGAGATGCCACAGGGGGACATGAACGCCCCACGTCAAACAATCAGTCCGCAGGATCCGTGCTACGCATTCAACAACGTGGACCTTGAAAAGCAGGAATTTTACAGTCCGGGCCATCCGAACGGGCTGTACCCAAACCACACCGAATGCGTCCTCGTCCTGGAAGGTAAGCGCGAACGCGGCGTGTGTGCACTGCATACTAGTGACGGGGTTTGGCACGCACACCGGAAAAAAAATGTAGTACGACCAAAGGCTTTTCGGTATGACTGCGCCGTCGGCGCACATGTGGTGCTTAGGATTTTCAATTGTATTTCGGGAAAGCCCTGCCGTGCGGGCGGGTGGGGGTTGCACAGTAGCGACTGCCGTTGGGGGGATATATTGCCTCGGCGACTCCGGACTCCGGCACTTTGACGCGCAGCATGCCATAAACGTTTCCCGCACAAACGTTATTTTGTAAGTATCGATATTCCACGCTGGCCAATATTCCGTTTGTATTAGATAGGTAGAACGTAATCTTTTAATGGCTGCCCGTATTGTGGCCGCTTTTTCAATGGCGGCGCCGGTTATTGCGGTGTAATCTAGTGAGGTCGGTTTCGGGTATTAAATAAATAAAATTTAAGTGTTGCTACATAAAAGCCAAAATTGCAACCATAAAAAACACAATTTATTTAAACTTTAATTTCTGCCTGTGTGATAACATTTACTTTTCATTAGTGACACACAATGCGTTAATTATGTGTACAGGTGGCTGCAATAGCAACGGCGGAACAATTAAATTCACGTCATTGCAGCGCAACAATTCGGCCGACATCAATCATTTAGTGATTTAGGTGTTGGGCGCACGCGAGACGTAATGCTTATTGTATGCGCCGCCTCCGAGGAGTCACTGGGCGAGACGTCGAGTGCAATAATTAATTCAAATTGCACGTGCCCACAATTACGTTATGGGTATTAAAGGGTATGGGCGCTTGCTGTTATACGCTTTACACGCTATCCTCAAGCCGGCTTTGTAATTATATAGGTGCCTTCGTATGGATATCATCAAAGTTGCAAAATATTGATTATCTAGTTTTAATTTTTCCTAAAGATTTATTTTTATTCAAGTTATGGTTAATTGTATCTTTAGGTCGCTTTACCGCAAAAATCATTAAACCAATTTTGATAAAATTTGGTTTACAGATTTTTTGGACCAGAGAAAAGCAAATAGGTGATTTTTGTTGCAAAAGCACAATTTGTAGGCTACATAATTATGGATGTAAGTTGATACGAAAGTCTAGAATTAAAGTTATGGTTATATAATTCGAGTCTAGATGGCGCATATTTAGCATTTTTTATTACTTTTTAGTTTAAATTAAAATTTGAACTTATTGACGGAGGTCTCATATAATAAGTCCAAGGAAGAAGAAAGTAATTAGTTAGGCTACTTTTTATTAAAATTAACGCATCCGAAGTCGCCAGTTAAGTTAATATTGTTTAATTTGCAACAATAAGAAAACAAGCAATTTATATAACCTCTGCATCCTGTTTCTTATCATGTTAATTGACGCGTAACTAATTAAAGATTAATTTAACCCAATATCTCTTGGAACAAAAATTTTTGAAAGACTTGAAAAGCCGCTTTTTATTTTATCTCAATAGATATTGCACAGCTTGTGCTGCTTCACAGACTTTTATGTTACATGAAATACGTTGCCGAAGAAGATATTTCATGCGGGAGGAACCAAGCTCTTACTCCCGGTTACTTCCACCCTAATGCAGCAGCGGCTGGGGAAGAGGCTACGCTTGGTCGCCCGAACGCACTTTTTAAATACCTATTCAACTTTTTTCTCTTCCACGGCCGCGTGTTTTATTCCGTCGCCGTGTTATCCGAATATTACACGTGGATTAATTTCGGTGGTGCTCATAAATCTCTCGGCATTTTCGAAATCGCTCGCGCTCCCGCGCTAATTGTGTTTGTACTTCTTTCTTCGTGTTCGAAACTGTAAGAATATATTATGTATAATTAATTACCTGCAGTGTACAAAAAAGAGAACGCGGTTGTAAAAGTATACGAGTTGGTAACTTGAAGAAAAGTTTGTGAATTTAACAAAAAATTAATAATGTTGTCACATTGGGGTTTAGTGGTTTTGTTTTAATAGTTGTAGGTGTGGTAGAGTGTGACTAGGCAGGTTTTGCACAATCCCACAATCCACAAATATCGGATTCCGGGCGCAATAAATATCTTGTAATCTCTGCAGGTTTCGCAGCATTGTAGATAAAGGAGGTTAAGCCGGGTAATTTTCCTTTAATTTCGCCTACATTTCGTGCCGACGCGCATACTGTGCTTTGGCCAACACGTGACTTGAACGTGTGAGCAAAATTGGCGGCGGGCCTTGCCGCCCTCAAGTATATAATGCTTCACCGCGTCGGCGACGCGCCGCCGGCCCGCCCGCTGGCTGCCGGATCGATTTTATCATTAAATTCCTACGGTGGCATAGGCATGAAATAGGCGCACGGACATTATGCACAAACATTTTACGTTATTCAACCGGCGGCGGGCACCATATTCGCCCAATTGAATTGATGCTGGTGTGGTTGCATCGTGCATCGCGTTGATTCGAGCTAAATAAGGGAATAAAACCATGTTGCTGCCTATCTGCAATTAGCAGTAGCGATGGAAACTCTAGCCTAAAATATAATGGGGGTTTTTGCTCTTTCGCACACATTTAAACTGAGTGTTAAATCATCCAAACAACAAAATTTGAAAAAATGATGAGACCAAACTGGAACCACAAAAAAACAGGAACATTTTATATGAAAGAAAATTGCGTCGTTGTAAATCTATTTAATAGTTGTTTACCGGTAAACAATTTGCACTTTGGAATAGTTTACCTTAACAAAGCGTGGAGAATAGTTACATTTCGAATGATTAACTTTGTGAAAGTGCTTAGGGTAAATGGCGTCTGCGAAACGATTTGCAGTTATTCGTAGTTGATTTTCACGTGGAATCTTAACTATTCTTACGCGCCGAGGCGGCGACAATGCATAATGTGCTGCACTCGGGCGGCGACCGCGAAACAACAACGAAGCGGTCGAACCGTTTCTTGCGGTCGGTGCATGCGGGGGCAGCAGCAGCAGGCCTGCAAGTAGTGGTGTACGCGTACTCGACAACTTGGGCCAAAGCAAGTGCAATTGGGTTTCAGCATAGCACCGCACTTAATCACTCCTGTCGAGGAAATGCTCCCAAATTGTTGACAAAATTAATGTGAGGTATTTCATTGCGAATCACAATGGCGCGCAGAGAGAATCGGATCGCCTTGCGGGAGATTCTATCTATAAGGAAACCAGAGTGTCGTCCACGCGTATCGCCAACGCCGAATTAATTATGTTTTGTCGGTTTATAAATTGCTCGGTTTTGGTTGCGAAACACGCAAGTGTTGTTTTTGTTTTAAATCGCCAACGACAACTGAATTAAACCGGTATTAATCTAACAAAATAAAAACAAGTGTGCATTTCGGTGTTGATTTATTAGAAAATAATTTACTTAGAATCTAAAAATTTAACTTGTGTCTTCAAAGTGATGGGCAAGTAAATAAACTTAAACGTAAATGCGAAAGAATTTATCTTATTTTCCAACACATAAATTGCTAAACTGGAAAATTTAATGTCTCGTGTCATTTCGACATCGGAAAGCAATAAATTCCGCGCACGAAACTCGATCGCCGATGCAAATAAATAAAAATAATAAAACAGCACGCGACGCGGCAGACTATTACGACGCCAGCGGAGGAGCACAACATTGGAGCGATCGTATTTTGCAAAATGAAAACAACTAAATAGTAGTGGTAGTATACATTGCACATAAATGTGCTGTTATATTTAAGGCGGAAACGACTTCATGTCGTATCGATTCCGCGAGGGCGCGAAACAAACGCGCATTGGTGGAGGCGCCACAACCGCAAAACGATGCGACAACCGTTTGCAAACGTATTATATCGCCGTCTTCAAGAAAGGTGAAGTCAATTTCATCCTGTTTGCTGATGATTGATTTCGATTGCTGTCTATTACATCTTTGACAAGGTCCTCACAACCAATTTCGGCAGTTTTCTCGTGTTATATTCATAGACTATTTTGCGCTGGTGAAACCTTTCTTTTTCTTTCTTATTTTAGTTAAATATTTACCTGAAAACAAGCAGAAAGCCGTCCTTTGAAGAGGAAAACTTTAGGTGGTTGTCATTTTGTCGGAACGTCATGTTACAGTACTTCAACTCAGAATGCCTTGAGGTTAAGGGGAAAACATTCAGGGGAGTGCATTCAATGTTGAAAATGAAGTTAAAGTTGAAGTTGATGACACTTATGTACACATTCCGGTTGCATACTAGCTTCACGTAAATCAACACACTAAAATTCACCTTGTGGGTTTAACTTGTGTTTCAACCTCTTTTATTTTTCTTTTAATATCTTGATTGTCTGGAATAGAGCGGAAAAATCATGGCCGTTCAATCTGATAGCGGAAGGAATCGTCTGGTATGCTTGTCATTCTAAGTTTCCGATTAAACTTTCACATTACTCATAAATTGTTCAAATTCCATAAATCCGCTGCTAAGCTTTTCGCTTACCCTGAATATTATTATGATTATTACTATTTCGACATAGAATGTTTCGAGTTTGGCCTAAATTCCGTATAACAAGTTCGTTCAATGCCCAATTGCCTATTGGATTTAGTTTATAAAATTGTTTCCAATATTTATGATAATCGGACTATTGAATTTCTATTTTAATTGAAAATAATGATTGTATTCATTAAAATGTACTATAATAAAGTTATAATAATTCACAGTCATAAAGTCAGGGCTTAATTTAGGTACTGTTTATTATACTAATGATATTTAATAATTAATTGTTTGTGTTGTTTTGTAGCATTCGTTTTGTAGCAGTTAAATATGAAATATTCATTTACTAAATTGTTTTTGTTATTATAGGCGGCAAAATATAAATTATTTAATGTTAGAGTCAAAAATATTTTAATTGTATTTTGATGAAAAGCAGCGACATCTGAAAAGCAATTTATTCCATGTACTCGTAATAATCGAGGTGCTTGATGAACACATTTGCTATTAATGTAAGACAACTTTTTGGAAACATGTTTATACGGGATGGTTGAGTTTTTTAGTCAGTAAAATATGT